CAGTGGTGAGAGGGGGAGGGGGAGTGGGGGGTATGTGACAAGAGAATCGTAATTCGCCGCGCTGGTGCGTCGCGTGCGACGTCGCGCCCGCAAATGACGATGGTTCCAGGTAGTAGATGGCGACAACAGGCAATTCAGAACCGAAAATAGTCATGAATGTCTACATGAAGTCCGGTGCTCCAATCGACAGGTTAACACGAGTTAAAAAACGCCGCGCCCATCGCCGCGCGCGGCAGAGCGGCAAATTACGATTCTCTTGCCCGTCTGCCGGGGGAGTGGAGGCATGTTTCACTTCTGCTACTTCTCACCGACTCATAATTGCCAGTTGTGCATCTCAAATACTAATGACAGGGTAGCAAATAACTCTCTTGCAAAAAGCGGAAACCCCTTTCCTCCGGAAATGCTCCCCATAGGACCCCGCGGAGAGTGCGTTATCGGATCAGCTCTCACTGATTAGTGTCAGCTCCTTGTGGTCACCTCATTTTCACCATACGAACTGTAGAGAGCAGTGGTGGAACAACCGCACCGTCAGGAAGCCTTTAGGAACGGAAGTTGGGCCGTGCCATGCGCAGTGGGCGGGACCATGGCCTCGTCGTAAGGGGGTCGCACGCTTTCCGCTCGTAGATTTGAGGTGCCGATGTGGTACAGCGTCCATGCGGGATTACCGTATCTAAATAAAGACATGTGAACATCAAATGAATCGGTGGAGGGGGGAAGGGGGTGCCTCTGGAGCAACTTTGCTGATTAACCTATCTCGAACGGATATAAGGCCCCACCTTTTCTCGGGATTTTCCAGTTTAAAAATTCCTCTGTTGCGGTCTGTTTAGTAAAATACTCTCCTACGGTTTTTGACTAACAATAAGCAGTGAGCCACTCACGGTCTTTTGACTGCCACAGTGCAGTATTACCCTCCATTACCTCCAACCTTCACTCTCAAATTTTCGCCAGCCCAAAAGCTTTCCATAGGCAGAAGGATAACCAGTAGCGTAGTTACGCAGATGTCAGTGGTTAGGGGGTATCGATAGGGAAACGGATATTGCGTCGACGCAGCAAAAACGGCGTTGACAACCAACAGTGGTGACCACTTCTGTCAACGTAATTCAAAACTAATATGAAGTGAAAAGCCGGTTACCCTCAGCAGCATTTGCAGTATCCATCGGTCGCTTTCTGTCAGCGAGCGGTGGGCGAACATCAGGTAGGCGCTCCAATCCTAATACCTGAAAAAACTGACACTTATGCACGCTCCAAACAACAAAAGTGCTCAGGGCACGTTATGCAAGGATTAAAACAAAACGTTACCTTGTACAGCTGATTAAAGGCTATTAGACGAAGAGCGTGCTGAGCACTGGCAGTAATCGCTTCTCTCTGTTGTCCGGTGAGAGGGGCCAAAACGTCCATTGCTTCCTTTTCACAAGGATCAGCAATGCCAGGACCGGCTGTAAAAACAGAACTCATATCAATATTCTGAACAAAACCGTTATTAGATGAATGACATAAAGGAATGCCAAGTAAGCTATTCTAATTTTGATCCCTCCCAATTCTCAAACGCGGCAAGCTAACGATGAGGGGAAAATGCAGGGCCGTAAACGCGATTCCTACTTCACCGCTGCTTCAAGTATAACCTAAAGGTTCAACGAGAAAACTCCATTTCACGTACCCTCTTTTTATCTTAAACCACAAGTCTCTAAACAAAAAAAAACACCTCTCTCGTTGATTAATGGCAAGCCCTGCCCCGAGAAGTTGGTAGTTTGGACTTCATCATAACAAGAAACTCACTTTTAAGGAGTACACCACTCGCTACAGCTTCAAAAACTCGTCGCAGAGCATCGCCGACGGAAAGAGGAGCCAAACACGACGACAACACCTTCTCTACGAGTAGCTCGCTCATCTAAAAATCTCATGATTAACGAGGTCGCGAGAAAATCATCCAAAGAAAGCCACATACCCAATCGTTCAGAGCTCTCCATGACTCAATCCTCGCACGAATATCGCGAAGGATACGAAGTGTAATCTGGCACGACTGTAGATAGATGCATCTAGCCTAAAGTCAAATTCCATAATTTGAATCCTTTATCAGTTTAGCCACTAGAGCGAGGATTTAAAGAAAAGTACAGATTATAAAGACCCAGCACAACCTCATCCGTAGGTTCCGCAGGAGCTCAAAATTAATTTACGAAACGAGGCAAATATCCGCCATATATCGAGGGTTGGGAAAATAAGAGAAAGCTTGATGGGTATTCTATCAACAACTAGACCAGTTCTTAGCCTACTTCTTAGTTCTTAGGGCAAAGCTACGTCTCCTATTTGGGCGCTGTTTCATCTCTCATTCTCTAACATCAAAACGGAAGGGTTGTGACTGGCTTTAACTTAAAAAGAACAACAAAGTTGCCGCGACAGGTATAGAATAAGGCAATCGCAATATGCACCATCGGTTGTGGCGAGAAACGTCACATTTCGAACTCGAATCGCAAAGGGAGGCTGAAATCGCAATCAGATGGAATGGAGTCTGCTTCCGCTTGTATTCCATGAATCCTCTACTCAAATATACTAGTTGGCGTACGTGGAGAATTTGTCGGGAAACGCCGCGTGCGACAGTGCGGAGACCTACGGCTGTCTCATTGGTCTCCCCTTTCTCCGCCGCGACGCGCTGTAAGGTAGCGTTCATACTTTGCGGCAGCGTCCACCAGCGTCCTCCAGCGTGTGATAGCAACTCGAGGGACTAAGGAACTATAGATATCGATCTGCAAACGCCTCCACCAGCGCTTTCGCTTTTGCTCACGTTCAAAAGTGCTCGCGACAACGCTGGTGACGGTGCCGTTCACAAGTCGATATTTTCACTTCCCTAGACCCTCGGAACGCTGACGTACATTGGTCGGCGCTGGTGCGCGCAGGCATTCGCAGATCGATACCTATACTTCTCTAGTCCAGACCATGGCGTCCACTTTGATGGACGCTGCCGCAAAGTATGAACGCAGCCTAATCGTAATGACGCACACCACAAATTCTGGAGGTAACATATGCTTCATATGATTTTGGGGTGTGATGCCGGTTGTCGATGTTGCGGCAACTTGGGTGCAGTGCAGTCACTTGCGCGGACATCGCCTCAACCTTCAATTGAATCAGCGAAGAACGTCGAGACAACTATTTAGGAATAGTAGTTTGCCGCGCCATGGGGAAGCGGATCTCTCAGCCGAAACTCCTTTGACGCAAACGGAATCTCGGGGATTTCCCTCTCTTATGTCGATAAGACAGACAACCACTGAGCCTTAACAAGGAAGCATTGTTTCCCTGCATACGCTCGGCGTGGACAGTTCCTTAGCGATATAACGACTCACATGTAATCGATAGAATACCCATCAAACTTTTACCAACAAAACAGTTGCGGTTCGCGATCAAGACATGGGCAGAGCATGTGAATACTAAGGAATGGTCACAGAGCGTTCAGCTAGAGCTTCACTTGCACTGGACAAAACAACGTTCAATGAAGCTATACCTAGCACATGAGCAAGTTTTCTCAATATTCACACGATGCGCCTCTTCGCCCTTGTCGCGACCGCAAAACCGTTCATAGTGTGCGGAACACTGGCGTTTAAGTCGATCGCTCTCCGCCGGTGTCGCGAACAATGACTACAGGCTACATGAAATAGCACAAACATTTCGGACACGTTGTTAAAGTTCCTCCAGAAAGAAGATCACCAGGTCCTAGACTCTTATGCGTTCATACCCTACCACAACTTCATCAACATCGACGTAAATGACGTTTTCGGCTATGAACCTGCGGGAAAGAGATACGCATCGATCCGACGTACTCACTCTAAGGCACGCAGTTGAAGTAACCAGCGTAGTCGACGTTGAATCGATATATATCCAATCTTCTGAGCGTAGCTGCCCATTAGGCCAGTCAAGTAGATTACGTAGGATCGATGCAAGCTACCACCCTCGCAGAACAGTCGCCGAAAACGCCGGTTATGTCGATTACAGTGGCTGAGATACGGAAACTCACGCCACTGTAATCCTAACTTTACAGTGCGAAGGCCAAGGTATTGGGACAAAACGAATGCCCGTCACGGAATGGTACAAAGCCGTAAGCTCAAACTGAAAACCAGGGGATTTGCCTCGACAGCTCAATATACAAAAGGGCGAATTTCCACATATTCATGGTTCTTGCAGGCGCACCAAGCACTTACCTAGAAGATGGATCGTTTTCCTAGACAGGTCAGAAGTCACGAAGTGCACCACTCGAATAAGTGTTGCAATGAAGCTAGAGTATTCAAACGGCTTAGCATTTCTGCTGTCTCTACCCATCACTGCACACGCCAGGTCCATGCTACGGCGCCATGCTTGGCTGTGTCCTTTTAGCGGGATAGGGTTAAATGAATCCGATCCCGTTCGTTTCTTCAGAAATGATTTCAGGTTGTATTCTGGAAAAGCTCCATAACTTTCAATCAGCCCTGAGACCCTATCTCGGATAGAGGGCGCAGTGGCTGAGCGCGTATCCAGTGGTAGTATGGTGTACTGACGGAGACACAGGAAGTCAAGCCATCGCAATTCTCCAGCTTCACTGGCACACATTTCAGAGCTGCGAAAGTGGTGCTCTCCTTTGTGGACCTGCCTACCTTGTCGGTGAGAAAGATCATTTTTCAGGTGAGTACATATAGGGATTTTGAATTACATAGTGCAAAAATCCATAGGGGTATTTCCATATAACTTTGCTGCCAAGTCTTCCACAGCTGAATGAAAAAAACAATGAGCTCCACAAACCCCTCATGGTCATGAGCCAAATGCTGAGTGATCTTCTCCTGGTTGGATCCAATGGGTGCGATGGCTGAGGGCCGGCAGTTGTCGCCAACGCCACCGGTGAAGGGGCTAAGTGAGGAATGGGCAACCGCCCTCTCGCAGCCCTCCCACCAATGATGCTGGCACAACGACCCCCTCCAGACATCGTGCCCGCTGCCTTTACGAATCCCTTGCTTTTTGGGTGTTCAGATTTTCTGATAAACACAAAGCAAATAGGAATTGTAACGAATTGTGGCAGAAATTATCCACCTCTGAGACCCTAGGTTTAGCTTGTCACCGATTTATGGTGTAAAGACATTCAGCAAAAATGTCAAATGTCAATTGAGTTTTAAAAAGGTGACGAGCAACAAACCTGGAACCACTTAGCGTGGCGCAGCTGAGCCAGTGCTTTGAGGCAAGCCTCTTTGTCTAGAGCATCTCCAGGGGGCGGGAGTGGTGCTGCGTCTGTAATACGCAACCCGCTACATGAAAGATGGTCTCAACACATGGAAATTATTGTTTTGATTACTTGTAGAAGAAAAACACAACAGGTAAAAACATTTTTGAACCAGCGTCTCCTCTTGTGAACTTCGTTTGAAATGTTTTAACAATTGAGCAACAATTACCAAACCGTATGTTAGACGCTGGTAAGAATTACTAGCTAACGCTTCGTAGACCATCTTTCACTCCCCTGCACACGTAACGTAAGAACGTTGCTCAATTCTCAGTTGAATAACATTCCG